CTTAACAAATTTCAAACACCTAACGTTTTCCCAACCTCATTAAGCCCCCTCACATTCCAACTAATAAGTTTTGGGGTCATTTCAACACTCTGTCATCCCTTCCCAGCAATCATTTCCTTGACTAGCCACCTTTAGCACCACAATTAAAAGACCATTTGAGCCGCTTAAATTCGCGAACACCCTTCCTTCTTGTTTTGCCTACTTGTGTGGTCATCCCTGATCCCCTACTAGCCTCCAGTTCCTCGAACAATTGCATGAGTCTACTTTCATATCCATCGCAAGAAACGCCAACAAACTTATTGAAATCCTGAATTTTTTGAAGGACCCAATTTGAAGGTTGGGGTACAGCTTCAATCGCGTTCACCTTCATTGTTTCCTCTGCATGACAACACTTTAAAGGGTCATACGAATATCCCTCCACTTCCTCCACCTGTACGACATCATTGTCAGTCCTCCCCTTCTGGCCACAAGTTACTTTAGTGTCTCACATGATAAGCATACCTCCTGATGCCTCCGATGACCCAAAAAACTGATATCCTACATGTTGCCCCCCCATAAGCTACTAACCACAGCCCCACGAGACGAACTTCAATTTAGTTTCTTGCAAACAAACAAGGTCTGCCCTTCATCTCCTTAACAAATTTCGAACACCTAACGTTTTTCCAACCTCATTAAGCCCCCTCACATTCCAACTAATAAGTTTTGGGGTCATTTTAACACTCCGTCACCCCTTCCCAGCAATCCCAGCAATCATTTCCTTGACTAGCCACCATTAGCACCACAATTAACAGACCATTCGAGCCGCTTAAATTCGCGAACACCCTTCTTGTTTTGCCTACTTGGGTGCTCATCCCCAGCAATCATTTCCTTGACTAGCCACCCTTAGCACCACAATTAACAGACCATTCGAGCCGCTTAAATTCGCGAACACCCTTCTTGTTTTGCCTACTTGTGTGCTCATCCCCAGCCCCCTACTAGCCCCTAGTTCCTCGAACAATTGCATAAGTCTACTTTCATATCCATCACAAGACACGCCAACCAACTTACCGAAATCCTGAATTTTTTGTAGGACCCAATTTGAAGGTTGGGGACATTCCAACTAATAAGTTTTTGGATCATTTTAACGCTCCGTCATCTCTTCCCAGTAATCATTTCCTTGACTCGCCACACTTAGCATCATAATTAACAGACCATTCGAGTCGCTTAAATTCGCGAACACCCTTCCTTCTTGCTTTGCCTACTTGTGTGCTCATCCCCGGCCCCCTACTAGCCTCCAGTTCCTTGAACAATTGCATGAGTTTACTTTCATATCCGTCGCAAGACATGCCAACCAACTTACTAAAATCCTGAATTTTTTGAAGGACCCAATTTGAAGGTTGGGGTCCAGCTTCAATCGCATTCACCTTCCTTGTTTCCTCTGCATGACAACACTCTAAAGGGTCATATGAATATCCCTCCACTTCCTCCACCTATATAACATCATTGTCGGTCCCCCCTTCTGGCCGTCATTTACCCACAATACCAAAGCTTTTTCAGTCCCTAATTCTTTTTCTTTTAAGGACTTAACATGCCTTTTGTTATATGTATTCCCAACTATAATTGCCGCATCATGCTCTTTCAGGACTCCCGAAGCGGAATGCGGAATTTTCTTCCAATACATGTACCATCTCCTCGATCCCATCATCATTATCCGATTTTTATGTTACCTGGAACAAATTAATAGGTTCTCTAAACCTAAAGATTTTAGCCCACTCTAGCTGGAAAAAATTTAAAACCTAGGGGAAGTAATTAATTCTAGTATGTAAACCTAAAGTACTAAATCAAGGGCCTAACTAAAACCTAATCTGTAAGCAACTAAACTTCAAGTCCAATAAGAGCATGAATTCTAGTCCAAGGACTTGTGAGAAGAAATTAAACCCTTCCTCCCTTCATCAGCCAGCCAGCCAGCTCACATCTTACATAAAATCTTAGGAACCAAAACAGAAAAATTATGGAACCAAGTCTTACCATAGCGGCCAATCCTTTAGATGTTATTATGTAACGGACATGAATTAGACCATAAAGCATCTCAGCTGCAGATTCAATCAATTCATTCTGCTCCTCCGTAAATGACTCACCTACAAAATTTGGATGTTTCAAAACACAATCAAGTGAAAACTATATGCATAAAGGGCCACGAGCTTGAAGTCACACACATAGAGCCAATGGGCAGAAGAAAACATAAAAATTACTGAAACAACAGAAAGTGAAGGATACAGCTGTCCATGATTTTGCACGAGCAGTATTACTAAATGGGACACAGCAAATAAGAGAAGCCTCGGATGTGCAATGGGATTGCATTTTCAACTTCACTGGCTATTAAATGCCATTATCTCCTAGAGATTTGCTTATAATAGGAATCTCGTGTTCAAGTTTTGCATTTCCATATCCTAGCACCTTGTTTACCCTTAGACAGGATTCGGTTACAGCAATCAAATAAACCCTCTTCAAAGCATCACTATACTAGCCTTAAACAATAACTTGTCATTTACTATGTTTAAACATGTTATTCACTCAGCCCCACAAGATAATTAGCAGAGTAAATGCTTTGTAATCCCAACATGTTGAACTATTCGATTTAAAAGCTTAAGCTATTAGAGAAAGTCACATATATATCATTTAAATCTTGTCTTCCAACACTTTCATACACTTGTAGGCAGGGTTCATTTTTATCTCAAGAAAAGTGCACAATTTCATTAAATGGGTGGTAACAAGATGAAAACTGAGGATCTTTTCTTGCTTCAATACCATGTTGAACTACTTGATCTAAAAGCTTAAGTGGTTAGAGAAGATTACATGTATATTATTTAAATTTTGTCTTCAACATAGCGGGAAAAAAAATGAAACTGGTTAATCTTTTTGCAAAAAGAAATTAAGCGCAAACTAAAAATAGCAATAACTTGCAACAGATCTCAAAAAGAAATGAATGTCATGCTAAACTTGTTAGCTTACTGATATAACCAAATCATAATGGTAATTTTTGTTTTGAACTTCTTCAAAGACCAGAACAATTCCCCTTTCAGTTATTCTTGTAGGACTAACTAAACATTACTTGATTCACAAACGTCAAGGAGAACACCAATTTTAACGACAATAGTCACAATTCTTCAAACTAAAAGATTCAAACTTTTAGTTTCATGAACTGAATCATTAACTTCAAGAAACACTTATTTTAACAATAATTATTTTTCTGACAAGAACATACCAATTGATGATTCAACATCTAGAATTAGATCGAGTGCATAGTCATAATAAGGAATTTGACTGCTTAAACCGCAGAGGTTAAAGTCATCTTGGATGTAATCATCGTCAACCTCACAGAAGAACTCATTCCCACGAAGATTGCAAAACCATGATATCCAACAAGTGTCATCCCCATCAGACCCACTTACATCTGACTCCTCACTGTCTGCCTCGGATACTTCCGCTATCAACACAATAGAGAATTGTCAGCAAAGATATAAAATGATTACTAAGCTTCTGCAGAATCAAGAGGAAAGGTGTGCCAGAACAAATACATGTACACACTGTTCAAAGTCACTTTGATTTTGTATAGGCACTATGCCGAATAGAAAAAGAAATGCACAAGGTTTTATGTCCTTGGGCTTGGCACTGCTATACGAACAACAAAATTCTTCTCTCACCAAAGGCAAATAAATTAGTCTCATGAGTGACACCAGTCATGGCAGAAGCATGAGAGTGTGGAAGAACATGCACGGAGGAATCTCAATTATACCTCATACATCAAACAAATTATCTATACTACAATTCAGAGATAATAGTCTCATTTATACCTAAAATTCCTTATAAAATTTGGAAAATAACATAAATGAATTATTTCTTGACATAAAACTAGAAATTATGACATCACGTAGATTAGAATCTATTTATCATTTGTATGCCAAAGAGAAGCGCGTACTTTTAGTAAGTCTTAGATGAAATCACCATCACATAGACATCGTTAGAAGCTACAAGTCACTAGCTTAGCCATATGCAAAAATGATAACTTGGGTTTCCAGTGCTGTATCTTTTTGACTCTTTTCCCCAATTCATGTCTAAAGATACCAACTTAAGAAAAGATTAAGCCCCTCTTTGAGCCACATTTTCCCCAAAACTCATTTCCAACCACACACTCCCATAAATTAATTTTACACGTAAACCCAAAATTTTTCCATATTTTCTAACCATATATTCTCCAAAAAAAAGTGGGGCTCAAACGGGGGCTAAATTTATCAGTGACGTTGAGAATGAAACTTCTGCATTTGCTTTCATTCTTACTGTGAAGTGAAATTGAATTGGTAAATGCAGATAGCCGTTGTCCGTCTCTTGAACCGGGGGAGGTAAATGCAACAAAAAAAAAAAATCAGCAAAAATGCTTGTGCTGGCTGATTGGGAAGAGGTCCAATCATTTAGAGCCGAATTGTTGTTTCCCAAATAATATATGTTAAGAGGCATGTAGTAGAAGAAAACAAAGCATAGTGTTCTTCGGGAAACTTATTCTACAAGAGAGAAAGAGAAAGGACTACAATGTCAAGAAACGAAGGAAATATCCAACAATGGGATCAAATAATCTGTATTCTCTAATTTATTAAATTTTCTTCCGCAACAAGACTCTAAGACTGCATTGGAATATACATTTCTCAACGTCAAGTGGCATAGGTCCCTTCCAAAGATAATATTTGTAATTTTGCCTTCATAAAGTAGGAATGATGTACAGCCACATCAACATTTTCCTCATTTTTGAGGAAGAAAGGTCACATAAAGAATAAACAGATGCAGAAATGAAGAAAAACACGGAGGATACCAGCAAAGTACACTTCAAGCAAATACATAGAGAAAATACAAATGTGGGATAGGGGTGGGTGGGGTAATGAGTTATCTATGATTATTGATAAAACTTCAAAATGGTCTTTTCTTTTGATCCAATTCCCCTTTTATTGTTTAAAGAAGTCAAGCTATACCCTCCCTCTCTATCCATCCAAAGGATGATGGGCAGAGAGTCAGCGACAATTGGTGTCCCCCTTCAGTCAAGAACTAGAATATGGCTCTCTTGGAGGCCTTTATTTGATTTTGTCAAAAGGCTCAATGAATTCGGATTTCCTTATTAATCCAGGTGGACAAGCAGATGATTTATACATTTCATTTCTTCAAAAAGTTCGAATATAATTGATAACTTGCTTGTTTACAAATCATCAATAAACGAGCACAAGTACAACCTTTTCTTTCTTCTATCCTTTTTCCCCTTTTTAATGTTAAATCTTGCTCTCCATGTTTAGTTCCCAAAATGATAAATTGACAATAACGTTGTTTTCCACTATTTTGTATCTCCTAACTTAGGGATACTTTCTTTAATTTTTTATTTTTATATATATTTATACTAAATTTAGTTTAGAGATTAAAGTGCTCTTATCAGTTACTATAATCATGATATCATGGAACAAAGTTAGTATTGAATATGGCTCAAAATTCGGATTTCTTTTGTTCCTTTTTCTAGTTAAAAGTTGGATCAATTTTGTTCATTTTAATGTCGAGAAAACTATTATTGAGATACACACTTTGCAGAAAGAAAAAAAGAAGAATACTTCTTTTTAAGCTAAAATATATTTTTACTAAATTATGAATAAGGAAAAAGAAAAATGACAAAGAAAAGGATAGTTTTAAATGTAGCATAATAAATATGATCTGTATATTTGGTTTTTCCTACAAAGAAGATTTCGGTAACCTTTAACCCAACCCTATCCATTTTTGTTAACTTCACGAGTTGACCTTCCCCAACCATCAAATCCAACCTATGTATTTAAACTAAAAACATTTATTCCCAAATACATCCAAGCCTAAATAAATAATTTCTTCCATTGAAATTTCCAAAAATAAGATGTCATGGTACTTACATACATAAGGAGCTTGTTTGGGAGAGATTTTTTTGGGGAAGAATTAATTTTGAATAGTGATATGATGAGAAATGTGTGGTTGAAAAAGAAAAAAAAAATTATTGATGTGATGGAAAATATTATTTTATTGAAGAATGTGTGGTTGAAAATGAGAATTGATAAAAATTTAATTCCTCCCAAACAGGGTCAAGGTATCATTCTCTCAGACAATAGCTATATAAACTTGACATAATACAACTAAAAGGAAACTCAAGAAGGTTCATCAAAGCTGCTATTCTTTGTTTCCTTTTAGTTCTCATATGTAAAAAAAAAAATTAAATTCAACCAAAAAGTGATGAATCCAAGATACATAACAGATTGATGGCACAATATTCATTATCAGAGTATCAACTTCATAATTCGTCTAATCACGAGCCACAGAGGAAGAGAGTGTTGTTTGCATTAGTTTCTGGTGCTGGACACCATCATTTGTATGCATAAAACTGTCATGACTTGCTTTTATACAAAATATGCAGCGCGGAGCACAGCCAGCACAAGATAGGAGCCCTAAGTCCCTATTTGCAAGGGCAATCCTCACCTTTCCAGAGGATTATAGGCGTGTCTCCTCCAAGTGATAAATGATTGATTGAAAATATTAGTTATAATATTTTCTCAAATACCAATAGCAAATCAAAAGAGGAACATGCAATCTTTAAGTTTACATAGCCATATTTAACTGGGAGAAAGGCAATTCAATGTAAACTCTCCTCTCAAGATACACCATATATTTTAAACAGACAAGTTACATTCTTGAATTGCTAGGACCCAATAACCTGACTGTTTAAAACCCAATCAGCATCCAATCAATATAACACTCGAGCAAATACATAATTTACAAACACTCGTGCCAGTGCATAACATAAATTATCGAGAAAGGGATAAAAGGGTTAACCATCAGAGCATTTCGCCATATTATCCGGGGTAGACGATTTGAAGGCAGCGCGGGGATCCTTTCCGTTGATTCCTCCCCTCGCAAAGACATTAGATGATGAGGAATTAGATCGGTCCACTTGCTTGTCTAGGGCTTCCTGGATTCTCTTCAGATTCGCCACGTGTCCCCTTTCCCCCTTCCCGACTGCTCCTCCCCTTTCTCTATACATGATGATAATGTGCGTATATCAAGTATTTATACGCAGGTAGGACAAAATCAATCTCCCGATTGCGAGAAAGAGTGAAGAGAGTGGAAATTGAGGGTTTTTTGTTAGGGGAAAAGCGGGAGAAGATTATCCCAACCTGTCTCTGATTTTTGCAATTTGATTTTGTGAATATATATAGATGTATCTATATGTAGTCTGTATGAGAAGGTGCGGTCGGGGTGGCGTGGGTGGGTGGGAAATGTACCGGCAGGAGCACCAGGAGCAGCTCACTGCTTTACAGTGCTATTTGTAAGATTTTTTGTGAAGGAAGGAAGTTTATGGTGAAATTATTTCGTACGAAATTTTGTGTGCGCATGAGCACGTGGCCGTTGATTAAGCCATGTTTAATAATCATTATTTTAAATTTTTTAAATTTTCATACTCATTTTCATCTACATATTTATACAATAACTAGTGTACGCACGTGCGATGCACGTGCTGCGGTTTAATTGAGTATTTAGGGTGTGTTTGACACCCATTTTGGTGAAAAATAAATTCTAGAATAGTGATTGATGGGAAGAATGTGTGGTTGAAAAGTAAGAAAAAATTTTGGGTTTATGTGTAATATTATTTTATTGATAGGATGTGTGGTTGAAATGAAAAAAGAGAAAAAAAATGAGAAAGAGAATGGGAAGAGAATTGATGTCAAACGGGGGCTTAATAGCGTGGAGTGATTTTAAGGTATTTTTTCATTCTAAGTAAGGAAATGTTTGTATAATTGTATGACTTGATTCTTTTGTCAGTTAATCTCTCTTACAATGGAATGTTATAATGTATGTATGTTATAGTGGTAAAAACTGTGATTTAGATTAAAGAAATTTTATAGGGTTTTAACTTTTTCAGTTCAGATTATAGATTTCAGCTGATATTAAAATTCTTAAAAACTGTGATGAAACACCAAACTATAATAATTTGACTACCAATACTCCAAATGACATAAATCTATAATGATGTTTTATTATAGGACTAAGATCCATGGATGATGAACCACCACCAATCACAAGAAGTTGAAAACAAATAAGCGACAGAGCACCGTTCAACGCGATGCTTATCGATCTTTCCAATGCTAAACAACACTGCATTGTTCAATTCACCAAATGTTTTCGTTAATGAGCAATCCACAAAACACTTAACATTCACTAAGACAAGCAAACAAGCAACAGCAAATGAAATTCTTGAAAGCAGAAATGGAATATAATCACATTGTAGTAGTTGAATTTTACTAAAGAATATAGATCTCAGGCCTAATGTGACGATTACCAAGTAATTTTCGAAAATGAAAGCAAAGCATTGCCTATGTCTAACACTTATTCTTTCCGAGAATTGCAACCCTCTTTCCCTTCAAGTTCATACAATTGTTGTTAGTCCTCTGTCCTCTACATGGCAATCCTTGAGTATGTCTAACACCTCTGTAGCATTGTATCTCCTTCAACCTTCTATGGCAAGTGCATTGAACCTCCTCTAGAAATGCCATCCAAAACAAGTGTAAACACAAAATTTAAATAATTCGGACAGGGACTTACATGTAGTTAAAGTATTTGTTAAAGTATCGATTAAGAAAAAAACATTAAACAGATTTAAACCTCATATTTCACCAACAAGCGTAAAGCCTTGGTAAGTATCAAAACAATCATGTACATTTAAACCCAAAACCAATCTACATTGTAAATTCAAGCACTCATAGAAAATTAATAAGTAGCAAAACAGAGATAATAAGGTAGAAATATCAGAATACTTACGAGGTTTCCTTCAATCATGTACTTGGAGACTTCCTCATGGAGAGTAATCAGTTCCTCTTCGGATAAATCCTTGGTAATCTTGTTCTCCATGCTCATAGGGATTTAAACCACTTCCAAGATGATGTAAGCTTAGATTATTATATGATCTATTTCCTAAAAATGGATTCACATTTTAGTGTACTTCACATAAAAAGATACAAACACAGGAAATGCCATTTTTTTTTACAGTAATTACTTCTGGAATAGAAATAAGTGCTCAAATTATTCCCCTTCAAACGTCAAAATACAGAAGACCCATTTTTCACAATGTACAGATTGCATTTAATCAAATCCTAGATGTACGTATTACTTTACTACTTTTCAACACAAGTGAATATCAAATATAGGTAGAACATAATAGATCAAACAAGGGAAACCGAACAAAGAGATTGATACAAACTATGGGTAAAAGAGAGTTGCATACAGTTTGCAATTGTTGGTGCAAACTGTGTAATATTAAAACAAGTTGTGTAATATTAAAACTGCTACAGGAAAATTGATATGGGTTGAAAGTCCCCATTACTTTAATGCTGCCAAATCATAAGTCCTTGTAGCCTTTTCTTCCATATTAGAGCCCCCTAAATTTGTCATTCATAGATCACAAAGGCACACAAAAATGTAAAAACTATGCTTGTAACATACTAATTTTCGAGCCACTGTGGAACAAAAAATTGAAATGAAACAATGAAGAAATTACCTAGATAAACTGGAAAAAGGTTTTGAAGATGACGATGTTGTCTCTTCTGGACCAAGATCATTAAAAAAAGAAAATCAGATCAAGAACAAGTGACAAAATTTTAATGGTATTTGATCTACCAAATGTTATAAAAATAGATTGTGTTTCATCACTAACCTTGCCTTTCTTTTCTTTTTAGACCTTCTTTCCTGCAATTGTTGTCCCACATATGGCCTTCATATTTACCTCTCCATCTGTGCCTGGTGTAAGAAAGATCCATAAACCAAGATGTTTTCACATTTAATTACCTGAGAAAATATGTCGAGGAAAAAATGTAATCTGAAAAGAAAAACATACCATATATCACAATCAAAGAGTGCACCAGTTTAAGAATAGCAGATGAAAACAGAAGGAACAAGAATTAACCTTTTGACGCCTCTATACCGTGAAGTCCTTTGCCTAAATGTATCTATGGACTTTCTATGTGCAATATGCTTCTGAGAAACCTTCTCAGAATCCCTTTTCCTATTTTCCAAGGCCATAGCAGGTGCAATAAGCTGTGAAACCTTCTGTACATCCGAATAGTTCCATCAGTAACGTAGGCACAAAACAATTAGTGAGTACATAAACCTAATAAGTTCCAACTACTAAATGTTTGGACAGTTAAGGAAAGAAAGTTTATGGATAAGAAAGTCATCTAGCATACTGCCTATATCATTGTTGCTCAACCAACTTTGTTTGTCCCCATACCTAGAATTCATAGCAAAAAATCAATCTTTACTTACCTAAATTCCTTAATTCGATAATTAAAAAGTCGAACTGCTACAAAAATACCAAAGTCAAAATCTAGGGCATATAATATAAGCTTAAATATGCAATCACACATGACAGCCAAATACTATTTTTATATGGAAAATGCGTAATAAACCTTAGTTTAAGCACGGAGTAAGAGCATTCTTAGTACTTCAGAAAAAATACCTCACATAATTTTCATCAATCTACTACCAAGTACCAACCAAATAGTAGCAGCCTTAAGTCCAGCCTTTGTATCATTATTGTCAACATTCAATTTAAACATTAGGCATATTAAGTTCGGATAAAGAAAAAATAAATTATAAATTAATATCATATTCGATCATCTCATAAGTCATTTACTCATGCTAGCACATGGATAGTTATGAACACGAACCTTATAAATATTTAACGAGCATGAGTTTCACTCACAAAAAAACGTTACGATAAATTTACTAATTCAAGGATTTCATTGAAACAACATTCTTTGTACATTTGTTATGTAATAACGAATGTATATTTGTTGGTTTAACCAAGATTTTGATACTATCACTTGTTTTTGCTCTTGATAATGCAACGTATAACTGACCATGTGAAAATACTGGTTCAGGAAGATAGAGTCCAACAAAATCTAAAGTTTGACCTTGAGCTTTGTTAATCGTCATTGCAAAGCATACACGTATTGGAAATTGAGTTCATTTGAAAGGGACTGAACCTCTTTCACTTTCTAATGGAATGAATGGAATTCTAGGTAGAAAAACATGTTTTCCATGATATTCTCGAACAGCAATTTCAGCATCAATAACA